TCTTAGTCTCATCTGTCCAAAGAATGCAGTTCCAGAACTGGGCTGGCTTCTCCATGTGTTTTTTGGCAAAGTCAATTCTGGCCTTTCTATTTTTAAGGCTGATTAATGGTTTGCACCTTGTGGTGAATCCTTTGTATTTACTCTCATGAAGTCTTCTCTTTATGGTAGACTTAGATACTGATACACCTACTTCCTGGAGAGTGTTCTTCACTTGAGTGGAGACTGTGAAGGGGTTTTTCTTCACCATAGAAAGGATTCTGCGATCATCCACCACTGTTGTCTTCCGTGGACATCCAGGCCTTTTTGAGTTCCCAAACTCTTTTTTTCTCAGAATGTACCAAACTGTTGATTTGGCCACTCCTAACATTTCTGCTATCTCTCTGATGGATTTCTTCTTTTTTTTCAGCCTCAGGATTGTCTGTTTCACCTCCATTGAAAGCTCCTTTGACCGCATGTTGTGTGTTCACAGCAACAGCTTCCAAATGCAAACGCCACACCTGGAATCAACTCCAGACCTTTTAACTGCTTAATTGATGACAGGTTAATGAGGGAAGAGCCCATGCAGCCTTGTTATTTTTTTTTGCAGCCTTCTGAGTCAATTGTCCAATTACTTTTGGTCCCTTGAAAAAGAGGTGGCTATGTATTAAAGAGCTGTAATTCCTAAACCCTTGCTCCAATTTGGATGTAAATACTCTCAAATTACATCTGAGAGTCTGCACTTTAAGCCCACATTGATTATATAATTGTATCCTGAATATGTTTTTGTAAACAGCTAAAATAACGAAACTTGTGTCACTGTCCAAATATTTCTGGGCCTAACTGTATATGGAGTGGTTTTACCATTTTTCTGGCACATTGCTGCTTTCTGTCTGTGTGTTTATTGATTGATTCTGATCCGCATTCTTTGCCAGTGACGTCTAGCGTCACATGACTGAATCAGACATTCCTATTGGCTCCAGTTGGTGACGTCACAGTCAATCAGAGTGTCTGATTCAGAGGCTTGGCCTGCCTTGGCTTTATGCCCAGACTGAATGGGAGCAGGGCTGTTTCACTCTGATATCAAAGTAAGTTTATTGAAGTGACAGAATAAAGACAGAAGGATGTGTTGGTCACATATTTAGTGCAGTGGAGGATTTGGAGCTTATTTTTCAAGGACCAGACAAAAAACGCCCATAAATACTGCTCCAAAAACTGAGCATATCTCATGAACAGATAACAATAGAAACTTCAAATCACCTCTAGAACAACTCAAACAAATAAGTACAATTTTCTGTGTTCATTTTTTTCTTCTTTACTATGGTTAACAGTGTTTTTATCTATACCAGTAACATTAAATTATGTTCATTTATTTTTTTGTTTTATGGGCTATTATCCTCTATTATACTTTACTGAAGTCTTTATTGAGTGACATTTATTATTAGCTGAGGTTATGCTGATTCTGAATATGTGTAGCATTCGGTGAAACTGTTAAAAATGACAATTTTATTAGGAAAAACATAAATGGGTAAATTTGTTGTTATGTTAATTGAGTAATAAAAAAAATTAATCAAAAAAACTATCGATAGATTAATCAATTAATCTAAAAAATGATTGATAGATTAATCAAACAAATAATCGTTAGGTGCAGGCCTAGTGACTTATGGGTTGGTCAAAGATCTAAGTCATACCTGAGTCTGACCATCAATTTTATTGACAGCTGCAGGTTAAAGAGTGCAAGTCATCAAATTACCGCCCTGAACACCAAACTGGGGAGCTAATTGCCTACAGCCTGAAGTAAGCACTAGAATCTCTAAGTGAACAACAATTGATCTGCATGATAACACAGCTGCGAAAATATGGTGCAACTTGCAACTCAACAACTGGAATCACCTGCTGTGCTTTGGTCACCTATGGCTAGACTGCATCTAGCCACAGATGAGTAAAGCAAAATAGCCTTATGCTATATGAAAAAAATACTAAAATAGTAATATACATATACTGTATGATCAAGAACACATTTTTTCTGCCTTAAGACCACTTTTGTTATTTCAAGTTAAAAAAAAAAAATTTAATCACGTAACTAAATATTTATTAACTTACTCTAAAGAGACAACAGTTCTGCTCTGTCCAAGCAACCAGTGCACCATCAAAAAGAGTGTTCTGCACAGGTGGCAATATTTTCAAATTCTACAGAGCTAGTCTGAAAGTCCATAAAGTGGATCAATTGATTTTCCTTGCCAAAAAAATCTGCAATTGTGTCAGACCAGAATGTCATTATTACTTCTCCTTTAAATAGGTACAAAATGCACATTTCATATCTTTTAAACATACTGTAAATATGTGTCCCCAGTGTGTTTACAGACACTCAAACTTTGAGAAAAGACCATCCTCTATGTTTTTCTCTAGCACCATCATTCAATAATAGTGTGCACAAACATGCCAATTAGATGTTGCTCCCTTCTTGACGTCAAGAGCCTAATAAATTCACAGTATAAGTGCAGCTAAACTCTCGGTTATAGTTGCTCTCTCGCATCAAAAACCAGCAGGCTTTCACCAGTAGAGCAGAAACAAGGATAGTCTATAACAAAGATGTCTCATTACAAGCAGCACTAATGGTATGAAATTTCATTCACTTCCTGGTCGGCACGATTGTGATTGCTTGCCCATAACAAAACATAATAACAAGCTGAGCAGAATGGCAGCTTGGTTCGCAGCCTCCCTGTAAAGTTTTTATTTTAAGGTGAAACTGATTCATTCAGTATTTTAACCAGTTTTAATCACCTTGTTTGTTTGTTTTGGAGATGAAGATGGATTTCATTCATATAGCGCTTTTCTAGTCATAATGACCACTCAGAGCGATTTACACTACGAGTCACATTCAACAATTCACACAGCACTTGCTATATACACAGCGCATCTCTATCACACACACTCATACACCAATGATACATCAGGGGCAATTTGGGGTTCAGTATCCAGAGAACCAGAGGAGTCGGGATTGAACCACTGACCTTCTGATTACTCCTAAACGATAGACACAGAAGGAATCCTGACCAGTAGAAGCTGAGTGCAATGATGGCAATGGTGGTGAAGACAACTCCCATGATCCCACATTACTTCGTTGTTTGTTATCATTTTGATTGCGAGACTCCTGGTAGGGTTGGTTGATCTGGCAAAAACATCATATGACAATCTTTTTCGGTAGAATCAAATCCACAATCTTAATCACGATCTGCATTCTGTTTCCACTCTGATTGGATCGTCATTTACTGAAGTCCTGACCGGAAGTTGTGATTAACATCTTTCTGCCAGTTTAATGCTTTTTTTCAGATGTTTGTTTGCTCTTCGTTATTCTTCAACCACAATGCGGTTACAAATTGTGTAACAACCACTCACACTTTTTGCTTAGTTCATATGGAGTATCCGTTTGGACAGGCTGTTATTTATTTATGAGGTGATGCATGTAAGTGTTTTGAAAGTTTAGTTGCTGCTGACCAGCTAACCCCCCCACGCCAGGCCTCAGGTTGTCTCTCATTCCATGGGCGGACTGTAACTGGAAAGACTGACCACTGTCTTGGACTGCAGCTAAAAACTGCCACATGTATGAACACTGGCCGGATGTCATCAAACACACTACGAGTCTCAGCCGTGGTGAATACATTACTGGTGAAGCTTTTTTGTTGTGTCAGAGGTTTCATTAGATTGACCTGGTCTTAAGTCACCGTCCATGATTTTGTCAGTTCTCCATGTTTGATAGTGAGTAGGCTACTGAACTGGTGTAATTTAGCACGATCCCAGGGCAGGCAAATCATGAGCTTGATCCACATTTACTTTCAAACATCACAATCGTTTTTGACATAAATCATGAATAATAAACTGTAAACTGGCGAAGCTACATTAATAGGCAGTGTCACAAAATGGTCTGGTTACATTGCTGTAAGTCAACAACACTGCATAACAGCCAATTTAGAAAATAATGTTTGAATTTACATATGAGTGGATTTAATATTGTTAATGTATTTCTAGTAGGCTTTGTGGTCACTCGCACACAATTTGAGAAACAAATATAAAATATTTTAACAAATTTACTCGTGGACCACAAGGGGTCACTTGCAGACCACCAAGTCTGGCAGCAGTAGTTATGTAGTGTGTGTTTTACAGAGCCAGTTGATTGACAGCTTTTTGATACGAGTTATCCAGGATGGTCAGCGTTAATCTCTGTGAAGGAAAATACCCCGAAGTGAGCCATTTGAACACTCTTGTGATAGAGGCACCTAATCTCTACAAATGCAAATAGCACTGACAAACCTAGATAAGTTATGTCTTATACTATGTGGTGAGATGCAGATAGCCTGCAACAACAGACTAACAATGCACATGCTACATTGTGAATTTTGTTTATTTTCAAATATTATGGATTCAGTAGTTAAGTTAAGTTAATAATACATTTTAAGACTAAACCTTACAGATTACAAATCCAAGAGCAAGGTTTATAAACCGTGCGCATGGAGATGTAAACTGAGAGTACAGATTTTCACATCGATTTTTTTTCTCAGTTGACCCTGGGGATCTGTGCAATGGTAATTTTATACAACTTTTTTTGTATTTATGAATAGTACACTGTCTTCATCAAAGTGCCATGATACAGGGTACATTAAAAAGCCCACAACTCTGCGGTGTGTTCAGAGTAGGGTTGTGCAGATGGACGATGATATCAGTGATCGACGATCATCAGAATGATCACCGATTGCCTTTGCAAATGACAAGACTGTTTTCCGATTAATCTAGTAACTTATTATTTGTAGTATTAAATTAATACAAAACTTAATTTGCCATTTAACTTTGCCATTCTAACCATCTGGTCCCTGGACATAGTATAATTGCAGTTGCAACCTTTTGTGAAGATCTAACAGTTTACTCTTAGTTTTCCTAATTTCTGTTTGTTTTCTAAGACTATAAAAGAGATTTTCCAGTTTTTCTTGGACACATGGGAACCCTGTGTGCATAGACCTCCTACTAACCTTAAAGACCTGGCTGCGAGGCGTCTTGTTCCCATTGTAGCCCATGTCGTTGCCATTGTTCGGTGTTGAAGGCCCAAGGCGGAAAACATGACAGAAAATACGAACAATTCTCAGCAGACTCTTCATTTGAGCTTCATAACTGCTGGACAGGCTGAGAAGGGACAGAGGGAAAAAGAGGGACTGTTAGCAGTACTCAACAATCCATTTGCAGTAACAACAAAAAATTTAACATACTGACACAGATAGCTGCAATGTAGGGAGACATGATATTGAAATGTTTTCCTTTTGTGACTTTGAGCCAGGCTCTTTCCTGCTGCCAGTCCTTATGCTAAGCAAGGCTAGCCACATCCAGACTCTGGTGTGCTCATGTACCTGAGAAATGAGACATCAGACTGATATCAATCTATATTAACCCTAACCCTAACCCATCAGAAAGAAAGTGAATAATCTGATTATCCAAATTGTTAGATGATTTCTACCTATAAAACTATGAATAAGTACAATTAAAACTAGAGTGAAGTGAGTTTTCAAAAGCTTTAATAAAAGAGCATAAATTGGATGAATATATTGTGGCTGTCAAGCCGCAAAACCATTATCATCATTCTCGGTAATGCCAAAACATTCAGAATTACTGGAAAGTGATCCAATACAGACCATCTTTATACATCACTGAGAAAAATGTCAAACCTCTGAGACTTGATGTTGTTAAGATAATGAATTGACAGAACACTTATCATTTTTCATTTATTTATTTTTTCCTTTAACTCTCCCTCTCTGGATGTATATAGTTGTATTGCTTTTTGTATTGTTTTTCCTAGAAGATGAAAAGAAATGGACTATGAGTCAATCTTAATGTATATTTTTCTTTCTTTTCTCATGGTTTGTATATCCATTTTATTACCTATGGATGATATAACAATGCTTTTTGAAATGAAAGGGAAAAAGAAAAAACCTATAATGGACGTTGTATTTACAGAAATGAATGAAAAAGTTAGATCAATATACATGCAACATAAAACACATTTGAAAAAGGAAGCAAATCAAATATTGTAGTAAATAGGTACAATTACACCTGAGAAGCTTGTGCCCATTGGTGGTAGCCACTTCAGCAAGACTGGTCAAGATCCTCTGGTAATGACTGTCACTCTGCTGAGAGACATGCTCCAAAACCTGCCTGAGCTTAACACACACACACACAGTCCCATCAATGAATGTAGAGAACTAGAATTACCGCCTAACGGTTGTATGCCTTTGCCACTTAGACTAGTTTCAGGTTAAATCCCTGTTTATCCTGAATCACATAAAATATTAACCATTTGTATGAAATTCCGCTGTTTGAAGTCTTGAGTAATGGCTAAAAGGTCACTGAAGTCATTGTGTCCTTGACCTTTGACAACCAAAATCTAATCAGCTCATCCTTGGCTTTAAGTTGACATGTGTGCAAAATTTGAAGGGATTCCTTTAAAGAGTTATGGAGACATTGCATTCGCAAGGCCAAAACTGTTTTGTGCGGTAACTGTGACATTGACCTTTGACCCCCAAAATCTAATCAGTTAATCCTTGAGTCCAAGTGGACATTTCTACCAAATTTGAAGAAGTTCACTGAAGGCGTTACTAAGTTATTGCTTTAACGAGAATGAGACATACAGACAGACTGATGGACGGACAACTTGAAAACATAATGCCTCTGGCCCTGGCCGTTGCCGGCATAGAGGCATTAAAACAAAAGTCCCACCTGAAGCTCACTTTTGTACCATTTGCAACTGTGTTCAGATATTGTGTTCACAAGGCCAAAACTGTGTATTGTGAGGTCACCAGGCCCTTGACCTTTGATCTTTGACCCCCAAAATCTAATCAGTTCATACTTGAGTCCATGTGAATGTTTGTGCCAAAACTGAAGAAGTTCTGTCAAGGTGTTACTGAGATATCGTGTCCACAAGAATGGGACAGACCAACGGACAGAGGGATGGACGAACGGCTGGACGAAAAGACGGACGGACAACCCTAAAACAATATGCCTCTGGCTATCACCAGCGTGGAGGCATAAAATCTGGTTATACCATGTTTTCCTTAATCTCATCATTCTGTGTCATCTGGATCAGGGTCTGGAACAGTCGGCTGTGGTGCTGGATGAGAATTTCACAGGTCTCTCCATATCCACCCTAAAAACACACAGCAGGAACAGGAACCACAGGAGCTCAGTATAAACTAAACAACAAAACACAAAAAAGAAAAGGAGTTAAATGCATGAAAGGTCAAAAGGTGATGAAATGCTCACCTGCACACAGAGATCCAGAGGAGTGATTCCATTCTTGTCAGCAAGGTATTTGGCACCTCGAGAGAGCAGGATCTGTGCCGTGTCTCTTTGGCCATGGCTACAGAAGAAAGACAAGTTTCAGTAAAACTGAACAGAACTGTAGCAATGAAGTGCCAAATACTGGCACTCAAATATGCAAAATGTGGGCATTTGAGAATATTATAGCACATTGTAGTACTCTAACATGTCAATTAATAACTATGAAAAGAGCTCCTGTTTATGAAGCCATTTTCTAAATTAAAAGGAAGCAGATCAGTGCATCTCCACTCCTGAAGAATTACAGGAGGTAAGGTGAGACCACAAATTAATCACCAACATTACAATGACATCACTGATGACAACACCTGCAAGCAAAGTAAAGAGGCGTGGCTCCAGAGACGTTTGGCCGGTTGATGTCAGCTCCGCTGTCCAGAAGACACAACACCGTCTGAGCAGACACAACACATCACATGCTGGGAAATATTTCACTGACACACAGAATAACAAGGAAAAAAAACTGGTGTCAACAATCAACAATTCGAATTAGGTTTTTAAGATTTACCAAAATTAAAATTATTTTTGTGGTTTGGGTAATCATTTTTATCAGTTATGATTAATACTGAGCTCACCAAAGTAAATGTTGAGATTTCAGAATTACTAGACTAAAAGTAAGAGCTAAAACTACAAAAATAATAAAATAAATAAAAAATATTATTATTCTTAAAATCAGATGTGTTCTGTGACACTGAGGAAAAAATTAGTTTTGGCAACCAGCAAAACTTATAGTTCACAATGGGAATTTTTTGTGTTTTGTTGTAGATTTGCATTCCCACTTATTACATTTGCATTATATTCCATCCACCTTTAAAAAAGGGAATTCTGAATTCCCTCTTTTTCACATAAAGCCAAGCTCTGACAATAGCTATATCCACTAGCTGTGAGCACAGCAAAACACTCATCAAAAGAATGGGAGTCATTCATTCTTTGCTTTGTCTTCCTTTATTCCTTTTAGGGTTAGAGTTATTTGAAACAATTACAGTTAGTACTGGGTTTGTATTAGCTTCATAATGCAATAACTTTATCAGGGCAAACGGGAGCAGATTAAAACAAGGCTTGCCTTGTTTAAAGTGACTGCAAACTTCAGCAGGGTAAATGGGAGCAGATTGAAACGAGGCTTCTTACCAAAATATGAACGAGCAGGTACAGTGAAATGAAAGGGATGTGGTTGCATTGTGGAGAAGTCGTTCCTGAACACACAATCTTTCATATCTGATAGAGGTATCAAGTTTAAATCCTGTCTTACAACCCTGTCTAGCCCAATTTTACTTTTTTCTAGCCAGCCAGACACAATCACAGCTACAGCCATAGCCGAGTCGTGTTTTGTCTCCACAGCCAGTCATAACCAGCCAACTTTAAGGCTACCCAGTGGCTATGGTTGAAGTCAAGGCTCTGCTAAAAAATATACAATACACAATATTTTTAATATATTATATATAATGTGTACTTTCTAGTTGGCTCACAGTTTTGTGTCCATTCTGACAGGCTACATGTAGAGCTGTCTGTCCCATGGCATCCTCCACATCCACATTGGAAACATGCTGGACCAGATCATGGAGGAGCTCCGTCCGCCCGTTCACTGCCAGCCAGTGGATCTGCAGCACAGGTTCAAATGGACAGTCACTATATTGACTACAGGAGTTGATTAACTACCAGTCACCTCGGTAGTGCTGCAATAATGAGTACAATGATTTTGAGACATTCAGTACAACATGAACCAGGATTAGAGTCCACTCACAGCAGTCAGTCCCTCATTGTTGCAGATGTTGACATCAGCATTATATTCCAATAGTTTGCCCATGCACTTCTTCTGTCTGAGGAAACAGTGAAGGAAAGTGTTTAGTACCAGTATCATCACAGACCATGAATCAAGAAGATCTTGAGTCGACTCAGATTTTGTCAGTCAAGTCACTGAACTTTTTTTTCACATCATTGTACATAGAGCAATGAAGGAGCAACAGCATGGCAGGCTCTACACTTTATAAATCGAGACCACAAAACTAGTTCTAATGGAGGTTGAGAAGGCTGATGGAAAGTGCAGAGCAACACCAGACAGCTTCAGGCAGGGCAGTAGGACTTGTGTCTGTTTGCTGTGCTGACACTCTCAGCTCAGGTGCTTTCAATGAATTCGGCTAAACAGTACTGCCAGTAGCACAGCAAGAGAGAGGCTCTGAACAAACATTTGTTGATTTGGAAATCTTCCACAGAGCTGCACAATAATGACTAGCAACATTTTAGGACAAAATGGCTCTCAAACAAGCTATTCAGCTGTTGATTCTGTTTCACAGACCCCTTCAGGATGGAGACACTAGAATCAAATAGAAATACAGGAAAGATTTTGTCTCGTCTTGTGCATGGTTAAATTTTTATATTGTGTCTTAAAATGTTTCTATTAGCCTGGCCCATTTTAATGATATTTATTTGTGTCTGGGCAGCCACTGGAAGGCTGGTAACTCTACATTTACAGAGCAAGTAGCGTCAGCTATTGTCCACACATCTATACCACAATAGATGGAGGTGGTGTAAAATGGTACATACATTCTAGACCTTAAATATTTGTACAGTTGCACATTTTTTCTTCTTCAGCTTCTGTGTTTTAGCAAAGTAAAGTCTAAACTGCAAGTAACGTTGAGCGAGCTGTCACACTCTTACGGACGCCGAGCTGGCAGGAGACCACTTAAAACCACCCTACATCATCACAACCAAGGGAGACTGCGCTCACAAATAAGATTTACAATGGAGTCATGTTGGAGCTGTGCTTATCCCTGCACACAATTAGCTTTGAAACCTAATAAAGAGCTTGCTTAGTTATCTGTTAGAGTTATCTGGCCAAATGACAATATATATGACAATACACTGCAACAATGCCAAATGCTACAAGAAATTCCACAAATCCCTCGAGTACTGGCTCTGATGGAGTGAAAGCTAATGATGCAGCTAAAGCTAGTCAAGCTAACCCAAGAACATCGCCACCTTGTGACTGTCCCAACAGCGATACTCCTGTTGCTAGTTCTATCTCCATTGAAGTGGCAAACAAGTTTTCTAAATGTACTGCACTAATCTTGGAAAAGTGTGAGGCCCATGACAAGAAGCTAGAGGCTATACAGGTTACAACAAGTGCTACACATAGCAAATTGGCTGACATTACTAACTGCATTTCTCAATTTGAGAGTCATTTAGTCAGGTAGCATCCTATTGGTGCTTTGCGAGATCAAGGGTAATAACATTATACTAGCAAATGTCTATGTTTCAAATATAGTCGATCCTGCATTTTAATGAAGTAAAGGATCCAGTATTAGACTGCAGCTCTCCATTGGTCCTCACTTCCAGAGCGCATGTAGTGCTCAAAAATATGTCCGGCTTTATGTTTGATAGATGTTTGGCAGCTACAAAACCCATCATAAAAGGGATTATACATTCTTTTCTTCACCCCATAGTTCTTTCTTTCTGGTATCCCAGCCACTGTTATCTGCTATAGTATTAACCTATACTTAGAAAAACAATTTACAGCTCTATCGGCAGGAATAGACTGGGAGGCTTTTAAAGCTTTTTTGAGAAGTCATATAATTCAACACTCCTCGTTTAAGAGGAAGGAAAATAATGCGAAACTTCAGCAGCTTAAAGTGTTGCAGAGTTAAATTTGAAAAAAAGAAACATTTCCACCATAAATTTTACTAGGCTGACTACACTAGACTAAGTGTGAATTTAATTAAATTATGACTCAAAGGCCAGAATTCTCCCTCTTTCAGGCCAGACAAAAATGGAGGGTGATAAGGCTGTTGACTATTTGCCAGATATATTAAACAAAAAGAAGAAAAAAGCACTATTCCAGCCATTAGTAGGTAGTACTTTTTTCTGATCCTAAGGAGATAAATGTGGCTTTTAGAGACTTTTATGTAAAACTTACACTTCAGAGTCAAATGTGGACAAAAAAGATATTACTTCATTTCTGGAAACTCTCAATCTTCTGTTGTAGTCAGAGGACCATCTTGAATGTCTTGATTCACCCATTACCTTTGGTAAGATAGCTGACATTATTAAGCACCTACCTTTAGGTAAAGTGCCAGGTTTAGATGGCTACACAGCCGAGTTCTACAAGGCCTATGTTAAGGATTTAGCACCATTACTCCTAAACACTTATAACGAAGCTTTAGCAAAAAGGGAACCTTTAGATCAGTGGTCGGCAACTGTTCCATTACTAAAACTGGTGGCCTGTAGTCCAAAACTGGCCCGCAAGCAATAATATCTAACCCCACATGAAAAATGTTTGTTATACTTCTATCCATGTTGAAAGTGAATGACAGACAAAAACAGTCACACATCAGGCTGCAGGCTGCACTGTCAGCAGGACAGCGCCTGGTGCTGAAATTGATCTGGCAAATTGATATCTGTCATGGCAAGATTTACCCACAGATTCACTTCCTTTTTAGTAATTTTACCTACAAAAATAATTGCACAAGAAAGTTTGTTTTTTGAAACAGTGCTTTATTTTGAGCTAATTGGGAGCTTTTATTCTGAAAATTTCTGATCAAAAGAACATAACATTATGTTTCTCACTCAAACCTATGAAGTAGCAAACCAATGCAATACGTGGTATGAAAAATAACAGTTCAGTAAATAATTCAAAACTACTTATAAGTCTATATTATTGAGCCCCATGGTGCCACACACGAACAGTAACAAAGCACTTTCATTTAATGAAAAACATTAACAAAAAAAAAAGAAAGAAAAAAAACAAAGCATGAATCTGCTTGATCATAAACGCACAACGGCTTGGGAGGGGTGGTGGTGCATAGACCTATGCTCCTGAAACAACAGAGCACACAGTAGGCTACATTAGGTATACAAATTTGATGAAATTTAGTAACTAGGCCTACATTCAAAACAGAATTTGGCTATTAAATACAAAAACAACAGGCTTAGTACTCACTTAATGTGAAAATGTGAAAACTGGCATGTCCCACTGGTCATGATTTTTTTGAATGTCTGGTGATATGGATGTCACTGCAATTCGCAGGCAGTTTCCCAAGGACGTTATGCGCCAAACGATTCCTCTCATGCATCTTTATTGCATTAATTGACTGACTCGCATGTATAGGTGAAGGGGAACATTGTTAATGTAAAACTATCACTTGTGTTGGGACTTCCGGTTGGGGCGCACAGGGAATGGCAGCATAGAGAAACCTCTCCCGAACAGCGAGATATTTTACATGCCCCTGAAACTCTGAACTTTTTATGAGACTTATGATAGCTGCGTTAAAGGGGTAACAATGTCGGCCAAGGCAAAAAAAGACGTAAAAGAAAACAAAAATACATGGCAGACAGGAGCACAGAGTGAGACGGCTAGCGCTAGCTCTAACGAAGACACGGCTAATCTGGGACTGATTCTCAAGGAACTGAGAGATTTTCGGCAAGATAACAAGATTCAACTCGAAGATATTAAAGAGAAAATAACCAAAACGAACACAAGACCCGAGGAAGCTGAAGAGCGAATTATGAAAGCTGAAGAAAGAATACAAAACACAGAGGATATCATGTCAGAAATGCTAAAACTCCAAGCTCAAATGGAAGCTAAAATAAGCAAACAAGAGAGCCGCTCAAGACAAGAAAATATCCGCCTGTACGGGATTCCTGAAGGGGCCGAAAAGGACTCGCCAACCATGGTTGAGTTTGTGGAAAAATTGTTTGGGGATAACCTCGACATAACAGACACTGCCACCCTGCAAACACAGAGAGCCCACCGCACACTTGGACCTCAGCCTCCACCACACGCACAGCCAAGGTCCATCCTCGTGAAGTTCTCCAGCTTCAGAACTAAAGAAATGTTACTTCGCAAAGCTTGGCAGAAGAAAGGGCTGATATGGCAAGAAAACCGAATCAATGTCGACAACGACTACCCTCCACGCATTCTCCAGAAGCGGAAAGAATATGCATAAGCCAGAAAAACTCTGAAGAACCGAGGCATACAGTTTCAAACTATGTTTCCAGCCAGGCTCAAAGTTAAATATCGGGAAGGAATCAAGATTTACGAGACTCTGGAAGAGGCAATGCAGGATATGGCTAAGAGGGGCTTCAGCGTCGAGATCATCAGACTTCCAGAGACCATGATGGAGCAGCTACAACACCTAGGCTGGCGGAGGAGCAGACGAGCCCGTCGAACGGACGAGAGAACACCGTCCTCAATAGAGAAGCTACAAGTGTTCAAAAGAGATCCCCCACCTGTAAACATGGACAGTGGTTAGTAGCGACAACATTTCTCCTAAGAGATTCACTCTCTTTGGTATGGTGAGTTTGCATATTTGACTGTTTTGCCGAGTTAGAAGAAAAGTGAATTTCTGTGCCTTTAACGACTAGACAATAGTAATTGAATAAGCATTTGGATAACCACGGACAATAGCGCCTCTCTGTGAGGGGCCCTCCACTCTGTTTGGAGTGGGAGGTTTTCCTTTAAAGCTACTTACTACCATCAGGTTTAAGGTCATAAGTAAGACCTGCAACGTGGAAGATCTTGTTGTTTTTTTGGTTTTATTCTTTATTTTCATTTTTCTTAAATGTTCAGTATTTGTTTATGCTGTTCAGGGGATGTTCTGCACTTAAATGAAGGACACGATTATTGATATAACTTAGATGCAAAACATAAGATTAGCTTCCCATAATGTTAATGGGATCCATAACCCAGTCAAGAGAGGGAAAATTCTGTCTAAACTTAAGAAAGACAGAGTCCAAGTAGCCTTTCTCCAGGAAACATCTTAATGATACTGAGCATGCTAAATTAAAGAGAATGGGCGTTAAGCATGTATACTCCTCTTCCTAC